TCAGGATAACCTAAGACTTTAGAAAACTTTCAACTCCATTTACCATCTTTCAACTTTTGTGCAATTGCTGCCACATATTTTACTTTAATACATATTTTAAACCCATAGATTATAATAATTATGGTTTGAAACAGTTCTTTTGTTGTAGGATCGAAGAATGTAAAAGAAAAAAAACAAAAACAACAAAGAAAGAAGCCGTCCATTTCCATTTGGATTCATGAACATTTTCTATTTTAGTGGTTCTTCATCTTTTTCTGCATCACTATACTTTCGTCTTGGATTGGTTTTCTTCTGCCTGGAGAATTCCCTGTGGCATTCCTTTTAGTGTGAGTCTGCTGAGGATAATTCTGTCAGGCTTTGTTTGAAAACATTTCACTTTTACCTTTATTTTTAAAGAATATTTCTTTAGAATATACACTGCAAGTTGGCAGTTAGCATTGTCCTTCATCATTTCATGATACCATGCCATTGTTCATGGCTTCCATTGTTTCTCTTCTGTCAATCGTCAGTCTCATTTTTAATTCTTTAAATTTAATTAATATTTGTTAGCTTCTTACAGTATGCTTAAATCATTTATTTTAAAACTTTCTTCTGTTCTAATATAAACAATGTAAAGCCATACATTTCCCTCTGGGCCCTGCTTTAGCTGAATCCTACAAATTCTAATATGTTTTGTTTTTGTTTCATTCAAATTGTTTTTAATTTTCTTTGTAGTCTGGGTGACAGAATGAGACTGTCTGAAAAATAAATTGTTTTAATTTTCTTTGTGATTTCTTTTTTTGACCTATGGGTTATTTAGAAGTGTGTTATTTAATTTTTAGGTATTTGGGGGATAGTCCAGAGTATCTTTTAGTTATTAATTTTTAATTTAATTCTCTTGTGGTCAGAGAACATGGTTCTTATCATTTCAGTCTTCTTGGAACTTTATCAAGATTGTTTTAAAGCTCAGGATATAGTCTAACTTAGGAAATATTTCTGGTGCACTTTCAAATAAACTGTTGCTGTTTGGTGAAGTGTTCTATGATACGAAATAGGTCAATTTTTTAATAATGTGTACAAGTCACACACTCTTACTTTTGTCTACTTAGTCTATCAATTTCCAACAGAAGAGAGTTAATACTCCTTAGCTATAATTTTTGAATCGTCTATTTTTCTTTTCAGCTTGGTCAGTTTTTGCTTCATGTATTTTGGAGCTCTGTAATCAACTGCATGTATTTAAAATTGTTTCATTTTCTTGTTAGATTTACCTTTTATTATGGAATGTCTCTGTTTATCTTTGTTAACATTCCTTGTCCAAAAATCACTTTGATATAGCCTCATGAGCTTTCTTATTGATTCAAGTTTTCACACTCTAGTTTTTCTAAATTTTTACTTTTAATTTCTCCTTATATTTAACATAAATTTATTGTAGACAACATATAGCCGGTTCTCACTTTTTAAAAATCCAGTCTGACAATATCTTCTTTTTAATTGCAATGCTTTAACTGCATATATTTAGTGAAAATGTTGACAGTAACTGTTTCAATACATGAGCATGAGATTTATTTGTGTCTTCTTAAATGTCTTCTATTAATGTTTTCTAATTTTCTGCGTATGGTCTTTCACCTCCTTGGTTAAATTTATTCCTAAGCGGGATTTTTTTGGAAGTTATTATAAATGATAGTTTTTTAAATTATTTTTCAGATAGTTTGTTGTTGTGTATAGAAATGCTACTGATTTTCCTATGTTAATTTTGTATACTGCAACTTTACTGGTTTCTTTTATTATAATGGTTTTTTTTTTTTTTGGTGGAGTTTTTGAGCACACTTATAATAGCTATTTCAAAATTCTTATATGCTAATTCCATCATATCTGTCATTTCTAGGTCTGCTTTTATTGACTAATTTCTCTCTTGATTATCAGACTTGTCCTGCTTTTTTACATATCTAGTAACTGTTTACCAACTGCCAAACTTTTAATGTTATATTGTAGCATGTCTATATTTTGTTTCTTTAATTAAAGAATTAAATAGGCAGCAAAGAATGTTTGGCAGGCAATAAAGAATATTTGGCAGGCAGTAGGGTAACTTGCAAATAACTTGTTTTCCTTTCAAGTCTTGCTTTTAAGCTTTGTTCAGGTAAATCTGTAATAACCTTTACTCTAGGGCTAATTCATTCCCTGTGATTTTTCTTTGGTGTCCTCTATCAATGCCTTAAATTTTTGTTCTACCCTGGCTAGGTAGAACTTGAAAATATCCCAGTCCTTTAGAAGCTTTCAAGATTGTTTAGCCTACAGCTTCCCAGCAGCTATTTGCCCAGCCTCACAGAGTTTCTTTCTATGCATCTATAGTTTACTATAAGAAATAGACTTGAGGGGATTTCTATGCTTATGTCTAAATTTCTTCTTTGCATAGCTCCCTCTTCTCCAATACTATGCCTGACATATTCCAGCTGTCTCAGCCTGCCCAAATTCTCATCTGTCTTTCCAACTCAATGAATCTCTTATGCTTTTTTAGTTTCTTCTTACGTGCACTGTGATCTGGAAAGTCCCTCTAAACAGAAAGCTACAGTGATTGTAGAACTTTCCTCTTTTGCTTCTGTTCTTGCCTTTATCACAGTTCTGCACTGCCTATTGTCCCATGCCTGAAAATAGATGCTTCATGTATTTTGTCCTAATTTTCAGTGCTTTGGGTTGGGAGATGAATTCCAGAATCAGTCATTCTAACATAGCCAAAGTGGAACAATGTTGCAAAGTCTTTAAGATTTTACAAATGAAAAGTTTGCTGGAGCAGGAGACCAGGTATGGTGGATCATGCCTGTACTCCCAGTACTTTTGGAGGCTGAAGCAGGCAGATTACCTGAGGTCAGGAGTTCGAAAGCAGCCTGGCCAACATGGCGAAACCCATCTCTACTAAAAATATAAAAATTAGCTGGGCATGGTGGCAGGTGCCTGTAATTCCAACTACTCAGGAGGCTGAGGCATGAGGATCACTTGAACTCGGGACAAGGAGGTTACAGTAAGCCCAGATCATGCCACTGCACACCAGGCTGGGTGACAGAGCAAGACTCTGTCTCAAAGAAAAGAAAACAAATATGTACTAGAATGGCTGGTTCTGTGATGGAGAGGGTAAGGAAAAAAAGAGTCAGTGGCAACTATATAACTTCTTTCTTGACAGAAGTGTAAGAAATGCCTTATCTTTGGAAGCATTTTCTCCTCAATTTCAAAAGAAGTTTCAATGGAAATACTTATTTTTTGAAAGTTAGAAGTTTCAACTTTAGGTTTATATTTTTTCCATAAACAAAGGCTAACTAGGCAGTTTTCTAATGTTGCAGTATTGTTAATTTAGATCACTGTTGATGATAAAGTGGTTCCTGCTGCTTTTGCTGCTGCCAACAATGAGAACATTTGCTTAGGCACTGCTAATATACCAGGCATTGTGCTATGCACTTTGCACTCATTATCTTCACCCTTCCACAACAGTTCTGCAAGTTAGAAATCATGATCCTAAGAAACTCAAGGAGGTAAAATTATTTCCTCAAGGCCATACGCTAAGAAGTGAAAACTCTGTGACTAAATTACTCAGTGGTCATTTAGTGGCTAGAATTGGGAAATAATCTCAGCTCATTGGTAACAATGCCTCCTCCCATTATTATACTGCTCTCTGATTCTGTCTTTACCTGAGCTTTCCATCTGGCAAATTAAACTGGAAAACAGCCAACTCCCTTCCCAGAGAGGCTGTATTATATATAGATGTTTTGCATTATTTTGCTTTGAATAACAACATATGTAAATGTGCTCCTGGAGGCTAAACTACCCTTATTTTGTCAAACTTGGCCTCTCTCACTAGGGTGAATAGTTGAAAATTTTAGAGAGGAAAAGGCAGGCTGGAAAGAAGGTTGACGTGGAGTTGCTTCTCCTCCTTTCCCCCGACCCAACACATATTTCTATTCAGACATAAGCAGCCACAGCAGAGTCAAGATTACTAAATTCGATATCATGGAGTCCTAGCTGGTCCTGATAGTCAGTGATCAGAGTGGGTTAATCCAGCTATTACTGATTAACTCTGCATCATGTTGATATGTAGGGGCAGATGTTCTTGCTGAGAAGAATAAAAGCCTCCTGTGGCACCTGGAAGACCTTATCAGACAGGGTCCCTGGCCAGATCACAGAGAGATTCTAGTTAACATGGGCATTTTGCTGCCTCTAACCATCTACCTCTTGTTCAGAGGTTGGCCCATCTCCTCGACTTCGGCTCTCCCTTGGGCCCTGTATTGTTGAGCCATCCCTATCTTAAAGGGCCTTTCCTGGCATTTGAATCACCACTTTGATGATGTGATAATATCTGCAAGTTAGGAAAATAAAAATGGCATTTGTTTAGCCATAATTAATGAAATATTTATGTTGCATGAGACTATGTGATAAAACCTTAGGCTTAGAGTCCTTTTGCTTCTGATTACATTTGGGATTTTTTTTTCTATGACCAGACATTCTGACGCCAGCTCTTTTACGCTGAGCAGATGTCATGTAGTAAAAATGGGTGCCAGATGCTGTGAGCCACAGAAGGGCGATTTGTTTAAGCGCTGGCTCCAACTTTTTTGCATTCAATTACTCTGCAGAACAAACCTTACACAAGCATTTAGGTAACTCAGCTAACTTTAGACATGCATTTTAATAATAGATTTTTATCTCTGAATGCATTCTGAGCAATGCATATAAATGGTGTTTAAGGAATTAATTGATTTCTGCGTAATACCTTGGCTTTTTTTTTTTTTTTTTTTTTAATGTGAAAAGAGAGCTGCAAAGCTCTTGGCAGGAACCCAGAAATGTAATTAACGTGGAGGGCCAAATTTTCAGTTGTCCTTAGGTAGTGTTGCCTCATGCTCGTGCTCGCAGCAGGTGCAGTGAGGGGAGGGCCAGGAGGAAGGAAATGAGAGGAAGCGGGAAGGAGGAAGGAGCAGCTTTGGTTCGTAAAGCAGGAAGCGAAGCCAGCAGTTCATTGAGTTTTTCTGTTCCCATTTCAGACTCCAAGAACTTTCCCTTCAGAGCACAGGTAACAGAGGCTTCCTCTTGTGCCTCTTCTACCACCTCCTCCTCTGCAGATGAAGAATTTGATCCCCAGCTTTCCTTGCGGTTAAAGGTAACAACACTTGGTCCCCCAAAGAGGGCCTTGGCTGGTGGGGGCTGCTTACTATCCATATTTCAGACCCAGTGTGGGCTCCGGCTACAGTGGCTTCGTTAGCAGGATCATGTATCATTGCATCCGACATGATCCTCTCTTTACTTGGAACACCCCAAGAATTGTATCTTTAAAAAAAAACTTGTACAAGTTTGCCTTTCTCAGACCCACATTGGGGAGAAAAAAAAAAAGAGAGACATATTTACTGGAAACCATTTGGTGACGGCAGCTCTTAAAGTGGGTTTAATATATGGTCCAACAAGCAAACCATTGAAAAAATTACAACAAACAGATGCATATTTCCCTGGGGGAAGCACAGCTTCATTTAAGAAGCACTAGAGGCAGATTGCATGGAAAATGTTATGTTTATTCTAATCAGAAATATGAAATGAACCATGCAGTTGCATCTAGACATAGATACTCCAAGGATCCCTGCTGTGAAAGGGACAAGCTCCGTGCCAGCTGGGGAGACGGTAGGCTTCTTTTCTCAATGGACATTAATGTTTCTGGAGAGCTCTTTAAACTACTCTCATATCCATAGATTAAAAAACACAAACATTGTATATGTCTATAAATGCGTCTGTATGTCACATTCACAGTGACAGACGTCCCATAACCAAAGCCCACCATTGTTTTCTTTATCCACTGAAGCTGGAGCATTTTCACTAAGACAGTAGAGTACTTGGCGCGGGTGGTAGGGGGGTGGGGTGTTACTGAATGGTTGGACCTAAAATGCAGAAAGAGAAGCAGTTTGCTGCTCTGGTAATGTTTATTTTTTGGAGTAGTGAGGATCTGGGGAGGGAGGAGGAGAACCAAATTTATTTACACAACTCAACTTTTCCATATCTGGCATTAGGAGCTTTGGCATCATCTCAAGTCACTCAGGGGTTCCAACTCCCCATGGCCCAGCTTGGAGTAAGGCAGGAGGGGTCTGGGATGTGTGTGAGAGTGTGTGTGTGTATGTATGTGTGTGTGTGAGAGAGAGAGACAGAGAGATGGGGGGGCACACAGGGGAAGGGAAGAGAGAGAGAGGGAGGGAGTAGAGATTGAGGGAGAGAGATGTATGAATTTCTCATTTCTAGCAATGATGTCTCTGATTAGTTCAGTATTCAACACAAATGAATTCTGTGTGTGTTGTATTGATTTCTGTGGTTTTCTTACTGCCCCTCTCATCCCCTTGAGTGACCCTGAGTTAATTCTGTATTCAAATTAGGCAGAGACTCCAGCATCAGCCATCTTGACATGGAGAATAAAAGAATAGAATGGCCCAAACATTGAAATCGCAAGACAGTGGTTTCTAGGACCAGTCTCACAAATAGCTCCTTGTCCTCCTGCTGGTCCACAGCAGAGCCCACTATCACATCAGCTTGCCAGGCGGTAAAGCATGCCCGCCTCACCTGGCTTCAGACCTGTCCCACTCTTAAAGGAAGGGAAGCTGGCAACAATATTTCTTCTTTCCAACCTCTCAAGGGCTCACACTGAAGGAACAAGAGGAGGTTTTCGTCCTCTGGTTTCTTTGTCTCTTCTGTCCCATGCAGGTGTGTCCCCACCCAGGTGGCACAGAGCCCATGACAGCTCAAATGAACCTTTGCACAGGAAACCAGAGGCAAGATGTGTCCTCTTGGCCTCTTCCCTTTGCTTCATCCTTGTTCCCCACTGCCTCTCCTCCCACACCACCACCTAGATCTAAGAGACTAAGGCCAGAAGAGATACAGCATCTTGTCTTTGATTCTGCCAGATTTCTGCATCTTTTCTTCCATGGCCCTTAGCTTCCTTCCTTCTCTGCATCATCAGTGAGGATATAAGAGCTGTGCCTTGTATACATAAGGCTGTGTCTTTATTAATAATGCGTCCTTCTTTTATGTGTCAGCAACTTTTAATAAAAGGCAATAAATGACTTTCTTTTTCTAGGTTCTGTTTTGCTGACTCTTGATAAAGCAGAGTCTGATAGCTTTGCGGCTGGAAAGCGCTGAGACCACATGATGCTCTTGAGGCAATTCCCCCCACCTTTCACCTTGGAATTGCATTCAGTGGTCTTCATTTAGGGAGGAACATTGGCATTTCTTTTCTGTAGTCTCACGTTAGAGTAGGGCCTTGTTGTGTTTAAATGGTGTTTGGCACAAGGAAAGGTAGTAGAATAGATGAAATGTGGATACTAGATTCAGGCTGCCCGTGCCTAACTCCTAGCTTTGCCTGTTAGTAATTGCATCGTCTTGTACAAGTTAATGTCCTCTCTGAGTTTTAATTTCCTTATCTGTAAAGTAAGTGGAATTTGAGGAATAAATGGGATGACACATGTGAATTAATTAGTATAGTATCTGACATGCAGCATTAGTAAATGTGAGGATTTATTACATAGCTTACTATAATGGAAGCTCAAGGGACACTTGTTAATAAATGAACTGACTCCATATAGACTAAGTTAGACAATCTCTGGATAACAGTTACCGTTGATCCCCACCACCTCTTCCCTAGAGCCTTTCCAGAAAGCTCCTAGCTGCCCAGTGAGGAATCCCCCATGCAAAAGGTCTGGAATCTCCATTCAGAGTGATTGACAGTCAATCTGGTAGTCACCTCCTGGAAGCAGAGATGATACTATGTGGAATAAGTTGAGTTCTGCGAGTCAAAATTTTCTTCCAAGGATGAAGAAGATCTTTAGGATTTGAGGTCCTAAGTAGAATTCCAGAAAAATAGCCAGTAGGCACCAAGCTAGCTATAACAATTTTTAAATTTCATATTTTTGTTTCTTCCAGCATTAAAAAGAAATGCCTAGAATGCTCTAATCCTCATCCTAGTTTACATGAAGTTGTGTGTGCTCAGAGAAGGCAAACAGAGTAAAAATGGCCCAATTTGAACATTTATTTTGTAGATACAGGATGTCTGTGTGTGTATATATAATATATATTCCACAGAAAAATCATGAATAGATTTTAGTAAAAAGTGATAATCATGCTAATTTAAAATATAATAGGTGTGTTAATAATAAAAATCATGCTATTAATATTTACTGAGAGTTCATCCCATGTCTCTTTCAAGTATTCTACAAAGGGCTTAACCTTATTATTTCATCTAATACTAGGCACTAAATTCTCCTCATTAGTCCAAAGAAGGCACTGAAGTTCAGAACATTGTGTGACATTCTGAAGCTCACACAGCTCAGCTGGGATTGGAGGCAAGCTTTGCCTGTCTTGTGGACCCAGCGCTCAACCATTAGTCTCTGCTATTTCTCCCATCAGAAGTATCTCCTGAACTTTCCAGTATGTGCAATTGGCCACACCATCATTTCTCTTTTCTCTTGTATTTAAAACCCGGAAGTGACACTATCAAGATCTAGACTTCTACTTTCTATGCATTAGTTTTGAATTTTTTTTTAACAAGCACAGTTACATACACAACCCAGTGACAGTAATGCTATAATTGTGTAAACAAAGTGAGGTTAGAAAGAGAAGCAATCTCAGGCTTCCCTCAAGCCAAAAAACACATTCATTGGAATGATACATTTCTCCATTTCCAGGTTTAATTAGCCACTGTAGACTCAACTTAAGCACTATTTAAAGTTGTTAACCGGTTTACATGTAGGAGAGAGAGAGCATGTGTGTGTATGCCTGTCTGCTTGCCTGCCTGTCTTTCTCTCCCAGGTCCCTCATCCCTGAGCTATATCATAGCACCCCTGTAAAGTATAATTCTTGTACCATTCTTTCTCTCGCTGAACCCAGCCTGTACTCTATAAAGCAATTCCCAGCTACAGACCTATACATACGTTCCCTCCCCATACACACATAGCAGCTTCCCAATCCAGAACCTACTAGCAACATGCGGCTACTTACATTTACACTTAAATTCATTAAAATTGAATGATATTTAAAATTCATTTTATAATTCACACTCACTTCCTTTCAAGTGTCCACTAGCCCCATGGGGCTAGTGGCTTCCGGATTTTAGATAGCACAGCAATAGGTTATTTCTATCATTGCAGAGAGTTTTACTGATGTCATTATTTTGGAAACTAAGCAGTGGCTAGGAATCATTAGTTAGAAAGGGCAGAAGCCTATAATGATATTTTGTAAATTTCAACCTCATTTTTCTCAGACATAATTTTTTTTCTCTATTTGTTGTCATAGGAGAAGAAGACACTTAGAAAAAGAAAGAAGCTGGAAAAAGCAATGAAGCAGTTGGTTAAGCAAGAAGAATTGAAAAGACTCTATAAGGCTCAGGTCAGTAAATAAACTGGAGATGAATGAGTGGGCCTGGGTCCCCTGGGACTCTGGATGGGAAAGAGTTTTGAGAGTCTGTATTGTATTAGGGAACACAGGCTGGAGAAAGGTCAGTCTTCTCTGAGGGACTAGATTTGTGGCTGTTTTAAATAGGCCCTGGCTTAGTCTCAGTAGGACTCTGGGTCATGGACAACCCAGGTGTTAATACGGCCTGTTCTCAGCCACCCCTCCATCTGCAGACATGAGGTTGGAACAAGAGACAGTGCATGGCCTTGGGAGCATCCCTGACTGCCACGTAGCAGTGACCTTAGTTTTGTCCTCTGTAGACACAAACCTTCTACTAACTCCCCAACAGTGTCTTTACTAAACTGACAGCTATTAAGGGCTGTCTCCATTTCAAGATTAGTTGAAATCCTAAGTATCTAACCTTACAATAAAGATTTCCTGGCCTGATTGCTTACTTCAAACATTTCCTCCCAAGTTGCTCTGCCCCACTCCATCACAGACAGGCAAAATGAAGCAGAAAGTCAAGGCATCCTCCATCCCTCTGAGGACCCCAAGCCTAGTCTTGAACAAGAGTTGGGTTTTAGGACATATGGACTTAGAATGACGACTCATGTTAATCCAGCATATCCTCACATCCCTTTCTCCAGTTATTCCCTTTATCTGGCTAATAATCCTACACATTATTTCTGACCAGAGTGACGTCATTCAATCCACCCTCCTTTACCCTTCCCCGTGGCTGACTTGGGAGCTACCTCTTTCACCTAGCGAATGGGGAAAAGTCACTTCTGTCCACTTGCAACCTCTAAAACAGGTTTCTTAGAAACACTGCAACTTTTCTTTCCAAGAACAAGACAACTCTTCTGATGTTGATTGACAAACTAGGCAATGTATCTTCCTTGTATTTTCACCCCAGACAGGTGGTTATAATAAGAGAAGAATTACAATAGCCTTTTGAGTCCTGCTGGCACCCATGGCAGCCCTCTTTAATCTCTGAGACTTTCATCCTTAGTTTCGTTTTTTGAGACAGAGTCTTGCTCTGTTGCCCAGGCTGGAGTACAGTGGCACGATCTCAGCTCACTGCAACTGCCTCCTGGGTTCAAGTGATTCTCTTGCCTCAGCCTCCGAGTAGCTGGGATTGCAGATGCCTACTACCATACCCAGCTAATTTTTGAATTTTTAGTAGAGAGGGTTTCACCATGTTGGCCATGCTGGTCTCAAACTCCTGAGCTCAAGTGATCCTCCCGCCTCAGCTTCCCAAAATGCTGAGATTACTGGCGTGAGCCACCATGCCCAGCCTCATCCTTAGTTTCTAAAGAATGACCTCTGTATTAGTCTGCTTGGGCTGCCATAACAAAATACCACAGACCGAATGACTTAAACAACATAAATTTATTTTCCTTGCATTCTGGAGCCTAGAAGTCCAAGATCAAAGTGCTGATGGGTTTGGTGCCTGGTGAGGCCTCTCTTCCTGGCTTGTAGGCAGCTGCCTTCTTGCCGTGTCCTCACATGATCTTTCTGTGAGTTCACATGAGCAGAGAAAAGTATCTCTGGTGTCTTTTCCTCTTATAAGGACATCAGCCATATTGGATTAGGGCTCCAACCTTAGGACTTCATTTAACCTTAATTACCTCCTTAAAGGCTCTATCTCCACATACAGTCACATTGGGTGTTAGGGCTTCAGTCCCTAAGAACCACATAGCTGTAACTGCACAGTGATCAGTAATAAAGTCATTTAGGTGCTTCCCTTCTTTAGCAGTTCTACAGCATGCCGGCAAGAGATGGATTTATAAAGATATCATTGTCTTTTAAGGGAGAGACAGGAAGAGGGCATGAAATTACAAGTAGTTTTAAATGGACTTTCCATCTATTTCAGATTTTGTGTTGGAACTTAAGCACTCATAGCTGAGACAAGAAGAGCTGGGTGGCTGAGCAGGCCTCACCCCTCCTTGCCTGGGTCTCTTTACAGGGTTTGAGGGGCCTTGGCTCTGTACTTGTGATTTCAGGGGTGATTTAGAAAGACATGGGGTTAAGGAGGAAGAGGAGTGAGACAGAGCTGAAGTAAAACAAAGGAGGAACACAGGCATTCAGCCTGCCCAAATAGCTGACAGTTCCTTGAATATACCTGTTCTGCCAGGTGCAAAGTCTGTCCTGCCAAGGGATGTGCCTTTGACAGAATGGTATTTGAAAGCAGAGAAAGTGGATGGGGATGAACAAAATTTATATAGGAAAGGTTTGTCCATAACTTACTTACTTTCTTTTTTTTTTTTTTGAGACGGAGCTTCGCACTGTTGCCCAGGCTGGAGTGCAGTGGCATGATCTCATCTCACTGCAACCTCCGCCTCCCGGGTTCAAGCAATTCTCCTGCCTCAGCCTCCCGAGTAGCTGAGATTACAGGCCTGGCTAAATTTTTGTATTTTTAGTAGAGACTGGGTTTCACTACGTTGAACAGACTGGTTTCAAACTCCTGACCTCGTGATCTGCCCGTCTCGGCCTCCCAAAGAGCTGGGATTACAGGTGTGTGCCACCGCACCTGGTCCCTAACTTCTCTTTCTAATGTACACAAGAGATTAATAGTTAGTGGGGAAAATAAATATGTAAATGCCAACCCAATCATGACCCCAGACCTTAATAGGTGCCTATAATGAGCCTAAGGAGATATGATGTCACCCCCTAATGAGTTAAACATCTTGTGTCTTGTCTTAATAACCTGTTAGTAACAAAGCCACAGTACACTTCCACAGTGAAAGAATGCTGGGCATGTGCCCATGATGCAGTGAAAGACCACGTACAATTTGTAGCTAAGGATAGGAGCAGGACAATCTGAAACAGGAGCACGAAACCCCAGAAGCTGGCCCAGGTCTCTTGCTCCAGAGTGACTCTTTAGGAGGTATAGGCTGGTTCTTCTTGGGGAAAAGAGATTATGCACATATTGAGTTTGCCCTGGGACACACTACCCTACTCTGAATAGGGGCTGCAGCTTCAATCATTATGCCACAGCCACAGTCAGTGGCTGTGGGCTCCAAGGAGTCCAGGAGCTGTGACGACTGCCCACCTCACCCAACAGCCTCTGTCTCGGAGGACATCTGTAATTGACGTTGTCTAAGGGGACTGTTTTAATGTCCACTTAGGGGCCAATTGAACATACACACAGATTCCTTGCTTTATGTTGCATACTAAGGAAGGGAAACATCAGGATATAGCTATCTGGGAATTCAGAGGTCCTTGCTTAGTTACTCAAGGCAGGACCATCACGAATGAAAGGGCCTCTTTTTCCTGGAAAGGAAGTGGCAGAATCTGCTCCTCTTAGGACTCCATGTGGAGATTACTTGTGTGACATGTGATCCTGGTGTTGCAGGCCATCCAGAGGCAGCTGGAGGAGGTGGAGGAGCGGCAGAGGGCTTCTGAGATCCAGGGTGTGAGGCTGGAGAAGGCATTGCGAGGAGAAGCAGGTACGGCATCCTGGCAGATCTGGGGCAGTGGGCGTGGCCTGAGAATAGTGCTAGTCTAACCATCTGAGCAAAACAGACCTTGTCACCTGCTGGGGATCTGTCAGCGTGGACATGTGCTAAATCCACAACTGCTGCACACTTTAAACATCGCGTTATTGCTTCTCGGCCTTTTGGCCAAGATCAAGCATAAAAATCAAACTATTGGCCCAATTTGAAATTCCCAGGAGCATTGGTCAGCCCACAGGCCTTATAATTGGGTTTCTGTTCGGCCCCACCTCTCCACTGGCTAACACAAATGTTCTTTGCAATTCAGGTAAGATAAATTCAGGAGAAATATGCGGGTATTGGAGTAAGGTTGGTAGTAATTCAAAGCCCAGAGTGAGAGTCAATGTCCTGGTTTTTCCTTTACTACCTGTATGACCTTGGGCCAGTCAAGTCATAAACCTTTATACTTCTTCATTTTCTCATCTAAAATGAGGATAACAGTGATTTTCTCCTTTATAGAACTGATAAAAGGATTAAAGAGGAAATTATATATGATGGTTAGGTAACACATTGCCTGGCCCAAGGTAAAGCAATAAGTGGTAGTTATTCCAGTGATAGCTTCAGATTCTTACATTCAAACAGAACTCATCTGGTGAAGACCTACCGAGCATTAGACATTAAAACACTGGATCTATAACAATGAGCATGACACAGTTTCTACCTTAAGAAATTTATAGACCATTGAGAGACACACATAGGTAAAGAGATAACCCACAATACAGTATGTACCCTAATGCTGTGATAGGAACAAGCATTAGGGTACAATGTGGACAGAACCAAGAGATTCCTAACTGATCTTGGGGCAGGGAGAGCCATCAGGCTAGGCTTCCGGGAAGGGGTGATCTATAAGATGAGAACCAGAGGAGGAACAAGGGTTAACCAGTGAAGAGAAGATTGTTCTGACAGAGGGAACAGCACCTGCAAAGCTCAAATGTGAAAAGACATGAAATATCTTCACAAATGAGCCAGTGAAGGGTTTTCAGGTAAGGAATGGCTGAAAGAAATTTACGTTTTCAGAAATCTTCCAGTAGGGGTGTGGCTAATGAATTGGAGGGCCCTAAGAGTTTGTTGGGGGTATTGTCTCTTTAGTTTTGTATTGGATGTTTTCAGCCTTCAGTGTTTGGGATATAAAAGGTGAAAAACCAAGCACTGAAATAATGTGCAATAATATAAACAGGTTACTTGTTACTTAACAAGTGAAATGTAGGATTTCAATTCTTTAAAATTTCAGTTATTTGAGAGTGATGACACTAGCAGGGGCAGACCTAGATTTCCCGAGGCCTTGAGTTCATGCAAAGTCATGCATGTAAAATTGTGAGGGCTGCTTCCAAAACCTTGCAAGGACCCATCCAAGTAAGGGGTCCTGAGGTTTCAGTTTCATTAACTGCCTGGTTAATTTAGCACTAGATTTCAGGGAAATGCTGGAGTCAGACTTTACCTCTTCTGTGCCTCAGTTTCCTTGTTGGTAAATTGGGAGTGATAATAATACTTGTTTCTTGTATTTGTGATAAGGATTAGCAAAAACAATTTATGTAATACCCATAGCCCAGTGCCAGGCATGGAGCAGATGATTAATCAATATGTGGTTTTTTTTTTTACTAAAATGCACTGGATTTCCTTGCAAAGATGACCTAAATTTGTTCATTTGTAGGCTTATTACAAATAAGGCTTATTACATGAAGTAGGCTTATTACAAATATGAAGAGTTTTTTGCTGCTTGGACTGAGAGTCACTGTCTATCTCCACAGCTGCTGCGGGACTTTCAGTAGACTGAACTGCCCTTGTTAGGCTTTTGATCATATTCCCAGTCCAGAAGGCTCTGGTCCTTGTCTTTGGGAATCTGCTGATCTCAGTGACAGCCTTAGAAAGGAAAAGGAAAAAACAGAAAAGCCAGGGCATGCTTCAGTTTGCTGCCAGCAACACAGGCCAACAGGTGGCATAGTGGGAAGTGGGGAGCTGTGGGCGCCAGCAAGCACTGTGTTCAAATTCTCTTCCACTCCACTTAGGCTGACTAGTCCTGGGCAAATCACTTAACCTCTCTGGCCCTAGATTTCTTATCTGAAAAATGAAGATATTATCCCCATATTACCATGTCATTTTGAGGATTAGGTGTGTTGATGGGCAGAGTCTCTGCCAGAGCACTGATTACGTTGTAGGCATTACATAAACACTACCTCATATCATTTTACAAAATATTACTAAGTGTCCACACATATCTTCTTTTAAAGAATTTATCTAATTTTTATTGCTTGAAATTTAAATGATAGAAACCAAAATTGTAAAGCATCTTCTGAAAATCCTCCTCATCTCCAAATATGAAAAAAAGGAAGGAAAGAGAGAGCTATTTTGAGTTATAGCAAAAGGAATCTGGCCAGCTTGTGATGTTTCAGAGGTGTGCCTAGCCAGCCAGAAGATGGATTCCATTCATTCCCTTGGTAATTTAATTCCCCTGTTAAGTTTATGGGCCTTTTTCCCTTGATTGTCCTTGTGTGGGTAACAGATGCAGATCAACAAGGGACTGGAGACTAAAAGAGTCAAGTCACAGAGAGTGGCCTCAAAAGCAACCAAATGGAAGATTTGCAAACCAGGCACAAAAATTAATATACTCTAACTTGTAATAACATTTGTGCAATAATAATATTCCTTGGTGGTTTAATATTCTATTCAGTCCTTTTAAGAGATTGCCCTGTTGCTTAATGAATGACCAATGCTTATTAGGTTAAGTTGTATTTGAGCTGGCCTGTGCTGCTCCGGTTCAAGTGATTTAATGGGAATTATTTAATAGGCATTATTAGGATAATTAGAAAATGATCACAGTTAGGCAATAATATTGAGCTATAAAGGTTGTGAATAACCAAATTTAGAGACAGACCTGAAAACATGAGTAGCCTGCGACAGTTATGCAAGGCTCCTCTGATAATTATGTAGGCAGCCTGAAAGGGGCTTTTGTTCTGGGAGTTATTCATTAGGCGGGCATTGAATTAGAGGAACATGCGGGGGTGCAGGACGGAGGGCAGTGATGGCTGATGAGCAAAATAAGGCTTTGATGAGCTCCTCATTGTCCTGACGACAATTCCCGCTTTCTTTTTTTCCAGCAGTCAGAAATAAGCTCTCCTGCCCTGGGAAGGGTTTTTTTCCCATTTTGCCAAGGAAAGGGAAACAAAGAAAAACAAAAATCTAGCAATCCACCCCAGATGACAAATCATTATGTTTTGCAGGACGTGGACTCGTGTGTGTGTGTGTGTGTGTGTGTGCGTGTATGTGTGTGTGTGTGTGTTGTCTTTGACAAAGGGAAGAGAGTCCCCTCTTAGTCCCAGATGCCCAGGTGAAAGACTGGGATATGCAGTGACCTGATTCCTGGGGGCCCTACCACCTTCTGGGTGGAGGCTAAGCCCAGCTTTACAGCCACTTAGACTCTTCTTGGTTGAGGCACTGTTTGTCACCTACTGGCTGTTGCTTGTCAATATGATGATCAGTGTTACATACTAGAGGCATGGAATACCCCAATCTAGAAGAGACCACCATTCGTATTTAAATGGTCTGGATAACACCATCTGGGCTTGCTTTCAATACCTGGAATCTGATGAAAACTGAGTAACTTCGAAGAAGAAAGGATTTCTCCCCAGGGGAGTTTGATGAGAATTATTATTCCCTTATAGCTTTACCAGCTTTGGGGACGATTTACTAGCTATTTGTCTGCATGGAGCTTCTTGCCTTTTTTGGAGCCGGATGGTTTCTCCTTTCCGGAGATTGGGGGGTTTACCAAGAAAAATCAGGATGTGCAAGGTGCCAGCAGGTGGCAGCAGGAGCACACATTATGGTGAGAAATGCCAACGAAAGCCTCACCAGGACTGGGGAAGTAGTTTGTCTTAGACTTCGTGGTTTTCGCTGCTGCTGAGGAGCCAAGGAATAAAAATTCCTGGATAATGTAACAGTGAGGTGTCCTGGACAGAGCACAGGCATTAGAGTCAGACATTCTTGATTATGAATCCCAATGTAATCCTTATACAATTATTTACTTTTCTGCCAAATTTTCTTCTCATCTGTAAAATGGGATGAATAATACCAACCTCATAGGGATGCTGTGAAGAAAAGATTAAGTGATATAATATTAATAAAGCACCCAGAAAAGGGCCTGAAATACAGTAGGCATTCAAAAATATTTCTTCCCTTTTCTTTTATATCCCTGTTATTGTAGAACACAGCTGGATGGTCGATGACTTCTCAAATTGTATTTATTTGTTTGTTCTTTCACATTCATTTATAACTATACTCCCTAAAAGAGATTTAAGCTGGTTTCTATAAATATTTGTAATACATGAATTTTGCATGCCTGGCCCAAACAAAGATCTCAATGAGAACTCATTGTTACCACTCCCGCACCCCCGCCACTCCCTGCCCCCCAAAACAGCAATACAATAAAAGCTGTTCAACAAAGTTAGCAGACTGTGGGTTTCAATTGAGGCATGGCAGTCTGCCACAATTTAGGAATGGGTTTTAGGAAATAGATATTCTTTAGGTTTCCTTCCGTAACTTTTGATCTCTAAAGGTACTGGAAGGCAGTGGGTTAAAGGTTGCACCCTCTCATTCATCATTAGACACATCTGGTTACTGTGCATTCATAGGTCAGCAGAGCAGGGGAAGAGTTGCCATCCCTCTGTGATTCTAGAAGAGTCTCTCTAAATACAGGTAGCCATGAACATGGAAACACAGATAATATTATTTTGTCACATAATATAATGGGATATTGTCAGAAAAGGACACCAACCTTATAGAAAATGGCCAGGAGAAATAAGTTTCCAGCTTCACTGACCATTCTGTAGGAAGTTCATGGCTTCGTTGCAAGCCAAATATTGAACAAACCAATAAAAGACTAAAGCTGACCGTCTTAAATTGTTTTTTAAAAAAAATAAGATAGAAGATAGAAATAAGAAATGAAAAGGGCAGATGCAACC